ATTCTTGATCAGCATCAATAACCGAGTCGATCTAGCCATGCCCGTCTGTCCGTCTGTCCGTAAGTTTGAACGCAAGGATATCAGAACCTATAAGAGCTAGAAACATGCAATTTTAGCTGTAGGTCCACTAAGAGCCTGCTCAGATCGAGTTTGTTTCCGATAATCGATAACTAACTCCGTTTCTAACTTATATTGCCCACCAATTTAAACCACAATTAGAATGCAATTGACTTTTTGAGAAAGCACAAATATTCTATGGTACAATAAGATGTACTGAAGAATATTTCGTTAAGATCGGTTAAGAAATACACAAAATAAAATGTGTTTTGATGCCTACATATTTGCTAGAACAAATTCCAAGAATTTCTGAACACATTAAAACACACGCATACATGCACGTCTGCTTCGAATTGCGTCAACAGCATTGCAATTGCGATTTTTTCTGTGCTGCTATTTTGATTCGTTTTTTTTTTTTTTTCTCAATAAGGCTCAATTATTGTAGTGTGGGTATTGAGTAGAGTTGGCGGTTCGTAACAGTTTTCTAAATAGTCGATAGCTGAGTCTACAGAGCAAAAAATAAAATTTTTTAAAAATTTTGTTAGAGAATTTCTGGAAATGTAAAATTTAATAAATGAACTAACTGAATCGAATTAGCGGGGATAATCAGAATAACTTATACATGATTGACGGTTTCTGTAGCAAGTCGTAATAATTGGATTTCTCTGCAGTTCAGGACTGAAAGTTGTTGAAATGAAACAACAAGTACTGCTACTGTTTTTTATCTGGATTTCCTTGGTTAGAAGTAAAATATACGATAAATTTATTACAAAAAATACGATTATAAGAAATCGTGTATGGCGTGGAATGGCTTCAAATACAGGAGAAAATTTTGGCGGATGGCTGGTGCGCGTTAGGAGTGGTGGTTCGGGTACCCTTTCCTGTTGTGGTTCATACTATTCGCCATTATTGGTAATCTCTTCAGCCAACTGCATAAATCCTTTTCGATACCAGCTAGATGAGGCGAACGTAGTGTCGACAGCCAATGCAGAAGACGAGGACTACAACTTCTCCCGAGTTGATACAGTTTACTTTCCAGATGGATTCACGGCACTTAAAACCAACATGGATATATCGCTGGTGAGGCTCAACATTCCCTTAAAAGGCAGCATGACCGAATTCATCAAGCTGGCCCCCGTATTGCCGGGCCTTGGCGAAACATATCTTACATTTGGATGGGGCTTCGACAGTCTGGAGGTGCAGCCACCTTCAGATGAGCCACGAAAGACAGACCTGACACTTACGGCGCTCGATACATGTAAAGCAAAATTTCAGAATGGATTTGTTTCGGACACTGTTCTGTGCGCGAAAATGCCCAAGGATAGTTTTGAGTGCATTTACGATGGTGGTTCTCCGGTGGTCTGGGAAAACCAACTCGTTGGCGTCGCCTCGGTGGGATTTACATGTAGGAACACTTCGCTTCCTGGCATTTATACGAGCGTGGTTAAGCTGACACCTTTTATAAAGAATATTAGGAGAGGCATCAGGTCTGGTGAATTGGCACGTCGCAAAAGGGAAATCCGTCAGCAGTGGGAAAGCCTAAAAAGATCACCAAGCCCATAGGATACTAATTTCATTAAATTACCATCTTTACTAAAACAAATTTATTGAATTTAGAAATTGTAAGACTTAAATAATAAACGCTGCAAAGTAACTGGAATCGCCGACAAAATGTTGACTTGCATCTAGCTGAATTATATTCCTTAAATAAAAATCAATCGCAAACTAGGCAAAGTAGTGTCACAAACAAATTTTATATTTAAATGCACTGCGATGGAAAATCATTGGGTTATATATAAAAAATTAATTATAGGAACGTAGACATAATTTATACTATTAGTTACGTGTAATTATATTTAACTCTTCTTCGCTAATTTTAAAGCGTGCAAAACGCGAATCAAATCAATTTCAATTGAATCACAATTGTTTTATAGAAAACCCGAAGTTAATGTGTTAAGGCTCCATTTGATGCAATAGGCATTTATGTGGAAATTGAATTTGTGTAAAGTTAAGAAATCGTTAGATATGAAACAACGATTGCTGATACTGTTGCTCATCTGGTGTTCGCCAGTTTGGAGCAAAGTGTACTCAAACTCAATTTCAAAAAGAACGAAAATAGGTCAGAGGCAATGGCAAGGCATGAGCAGCAATACGGGAGACAATTTTGGTGGCTGGCTGGTGCGCGTTAGGAGTGGTGGCGCGGATACCCTTTCTTGTGGCGGTTCATACTATGCGCCCATATTGGTGATATCGTCAGCCAATTGCATTCACCCATTTCGATATCAGCTGGACGACGCCAGCGTAGTGACCACCGCCAACGCGGAAGATGAGGATTACAACTTTTCCCTTGTGGATACTGTTTACAGTCCAAATGAGTTCGTAGAATACAGAACCAACATGGACATTGCGTTGGTAAGACTGACAACCCCCTTAAAAGGCACAATGACCGAGTTCATTAAATTGACAAACACTTGGGCAACAAGCGAAATGGAGTTTAGTACATTTGGATGGGGCTACGACAGCCTGGATGTGCAGCCAGCCACAGATGAGCCAAGAATGGTACAAAATTTGCTATTTGTTGGGTTAGACAAATGCAAAAAACTTTTCCAAGCAGGATTCGTAGCAAACACAGTTATGTGCGTGACACTACCCATAGATATGTTCGAATGCATTTACGATGGCGGCTCTCCGTTAGTGTGGTCGACCGAGCTCTTTGGAATCGCTTCGGTAGGTTCCACATGCAGGAACACATCGAATCCCGGCATTTATACGAACCTGATGAAGCTTAAGCCCTTCATAAGCAGAATTGAACGTGGAGTCAGGTCTGGTCAGTTGCCACGCGCAATATTTACTCGCCTAAATCACAAAAAACAAATAAATCCAAAACATCAAAATAAGAAAGCTAAACCGATTAAATAAATAAATACATTTATTTGTGTAGAGTTTTTCATTTTATCTGAACCAAACCAAGTTATGTCAAAAATTGATTCGTTAAAAATACGTTTTTTGATATTGCAAAATATGATTATAATTATTAAGGTCATAAGAATTTTTGACGTTGAATAATTAAAATGACAAAATAACAAATAAATTAAATCTGTAATAATAAAATTGTTTCATTTTAAGCATTTTAGAAACCAAAAAGGTTGATAAATGTGGAGAAACGAATTCTCGAACCGAACCTAAATATAATAAATAACAAGCAAGAGGTTCTAGTTGGGAACGCGGCTCGAGCTACGCATTCGTTTACTTTAGTAGATGATATATCTCTTATATAAAAAAATGTTCCCTAGGCAGGGTTCAAACTTGCAACTGACCACATTACGTGCTGCCGCCTCTACTTAACAGCCACAACAGGAAATAAAAACAGCTCCCTACCCAGGTAGAGTTCGAATTTTCTACTTAACTGTCACATCTATCAATGAGAAAAACACGAATTAAATTAGCAGCACCGAAAACAATACAATCGCAATTGTAATGCTGTTGATAGAATTCAAAGAATACGCTGATGATATTTTCTAAAGTGGATCTTATTGTGCTATAGATTATTTGTACATTCTCAAAAGGTCAATTGCATTTAAATTGTAGCTTTTATTAGTGGGCAGTATAATATTCGGTCAACTGATGTATTCCAGTACTTAATTTAGTTATACATAAACATCGTACATATAAATAATAGGGCATATGCACATATAGTATATACGTGTATTTAATATAATCAGTTATATATTATAAATCAGGCGTTAAGTGAAATTTAAGACCAATTAGATGTGGCATTTTACAATTTATTTCACAGCTAATACAATCAGTTGCAAGACAACATCAAATGGATCGCAAGTGCAAATACTTGGTAGTGCTTCTCTGCCTGGAATTGGTACCTTTCATGGAACCAGTCAGAGGAGCAGCCCAGGCAAGTTTGGCCATGAATTTGCGCGTAAGACCGCCAGTAAGGACAGTGGATACCAATGGCTATCAGTTGACTAGGAATGCGTATGTGGGCGAGTGGTTACTGCGCATTATGGATGAAGATCGATTCGCCTGTGGCGCTGCTTACTATGCCCCATTATATGTCCTGACATCGGCCAGCTGCATGCACAAGTTCAAACGCAGACTGAACGAACTGAGCGTGGAGACGCTGTTTGGCAATAAATTCGCTTTGATCGATACTATTAGCGTGCCCCATCAGTACCAATATCCCAAAAACTTCATGGACATTGCTGTCATTAAGCTAGTCGATCCCATACCGGGCGATAACCACGAATACGTTAAACTATGCAGCCGTCCGATCGTGGACTACGGCAAGCTGACGGTGGTGGCGTGCAGTTCCGAGCACAAGGATATGCGTACCCAGCAGGTAAATCTGTTAAATCAGATGGATTGCCAGAGCCAGTATTCACACATACGCCTGGCCGAGACCATTGCGTGCACGCATGCACTTAACCAGGACAATGAATGCATGTACGATTTTGGCTGTCCGGTCACAGCCGGTGATGAGCTGTGCGGCATTGTGGCCTATGGTCCTGAGTGTAGGAATCCAAATCTGCCTGGCCTGTTTACAGACATTTATCAGGTAAACAAATTTATTCGCAGCGTTGTCTTTGCCAGTAAATATCATCATAATAGGGCTCCAAAGCAAACATGGTTTGACAAGTAAAAGCAGCAGTAAATATGTTGTGCTATCCAAAAATTCGCATTTTTCATTTACCTTATAGTCAATATATTTTCATTTATTTGTTAAGCAAGCAATAAATGGGAAATATAAATATTAGTGTATGCAGTTTTACTCTATTGAATCGCGTATTTAAAAGCGACGTGTACAAGAGAATGACAGGTGTCGTCCGCCACAATCTATGAATTAATTGTATTGACCGGCCACCACATGTTATCGGTCAGTGAGCTAAGCAATGTTAACATAAAGGTTAATGAACAGCTGTTGTTGCCTATCGATAACTTTGTGGAAGTCAACGAGTCGCTGAGTCGTTCTAACTCTTCTAAATCACTGCGTTAATTAGTTTAATGCTAAGCCAAGAAAATTGTATTTTGAAACAAATTCATTTGAAACAAACTCGCTACTGTTGGATATCAAAGCACTTATTGCTTATTTAGTGAATGCTACTGTTATTCTCGCTGTTATGTTAATTAACATCTGTGTTTGGCAAACACACAAACTGTGGCTCACGGGCAGCAGCACCCACATAAAATCACGACCAAGGGACTCAGGAGATCCAATTTAAACGGAAACATACGGGCCTGCTGTCACACACTGGACACAGAATGGCACAGTGGAAGAAACTGTATATGGGCGACAGAATAGAAGATCTGGAGAAGTGGACGACAATTCCAGACTTGCGCAACAAGAGCATGAAAATGTAAGGGGACACCACACACACCGCCCCGCCCCACCTAAAAAACCCTAGAGGCAACCGTGTGCTAGCCTCTGTGCACTAATTTTTATGCTGAAGTCAACCAATTTTAGATATAAAATAATAAATCCAATTTCAGTTTACTAAACACGGCGCGCAAACTGTACTTGACCGCTGAGGACTATCGCCTGGATGGAGATCAAGAGTTGGCCTACATCACCTACATGAAGTACTTCAATATGCTATCAGCCATACGTGGCAAATCCGATTACAACCAGCACAAGCTGACGGTGCGTCAAGTGCTTGGCGACACTGACTCCAATCGTCGCATCATGGATACGCTGGAACTTATTAACACATCGCTTAGAAAACGCTATGAACAACTGCTGCCACCGGGCGGCGGCAATGCGAAGATAAATGGTGCCCCAATTAGCCCGCCGCTACAGTCAGTGGAACCAATTGATGAGAAAGGCTCATTGGCGACCGCTGCGGCATTTGCCCAACTCGGCGTTATCACCTGTGAGGCACTGTTCCGGCGCATGCAACAAAAATCTGTGCTGGTCATGGACTGTCGCAGCAGCGCCGACTACAACAACTCGCATTTAACCTACTACTGTGCATTCAATGTGCCCGAAGAGCTGATAACGCCCGGGTAAGTCCCCACACTCGACTCGCGGAACACCCATTGTAATGCCCAGCTTATGTACTTGCAGCATGTCGGCGGGCAAATTACAGGCATGCCTAAGCAGCAGTGCCAAGGCCTCGTGGGCCGCGCGCTCCGTCAAGGAGTCGGTTGTGTTAATGGACTGGAACAGCAAGGATGCACATCCGACGGGCAACGCAGCCATTTACACCCTATTGGACATATTGAAAAATGTGCGTAAATTTATATATTAATTTCATAGCCAACCAATGGGCATTATACGGATCGGATCACTATGTTATCGAGAACAGAGTTTCTGTTTGAGAAACTAAGCTTAAGCAGACTACTACATCCCATAGCTTCAATAGGAAAAAACAGTCCATAATAATATTTGCATCAAATTCTGCAAATAGCAGGCTCGCCCTAAGAGCATTGGACAAAAATATCAGATATATAAATAGGATAGGAACGATCGAATATCTAGAATATATTCATACATTTAATTTTACAGTGGGATCCAGACGTCACCTATCGCACGCCCATACAAATTCTGGAGGGGGGCTACGAATACTTCATCATGATGTACCCCACGCACTGTACCAATCCCAGCGTACAAGCGCCGCAGCAGAACAATAATGATGTCGAAACGATAGATGACATCGAATATCCTTCCATTAATGATATTACCATGAAGGAGGACGTTATGAATGAGCCAAATACTAAGCACAAGCAACGGCCCAGCATTAATCGTGCCAGCAAGCCTGCAGCGCTGCGCACCTACGAGCAGAGCCAACAGAATCAGCAGCCGCCGGATCCACAGGAGAATCCTATTAATGAAATAATTCGCGATCAAGAGACGTTGCTGCAGCGGGCACAGCATAACGATATGCTACTCGATTCCGCATCCAAGAAATGGCAGAGCATATTCGAGCTGAAACAACTGCAAGCCGAGGGCGCTGTGCTAAGCACTGCAGAGCAGGAGGTGCTCTACAACATAATGCAACTGGAAAGCAAGGCCGACGATTATGTGAGTTAATAACTATATTGAATTTGTATAGCTACTAATGGGTCTTAACGCTGCCTAGAAAATGGAAAACAATCGCTTGCGCGATGAGCTGAATCGGTACAAGGAGCAAACCCCGCAGAATCATCTGCAAAAGGACACGGAGACAACCAAACGCATTGAATCCAAGATACAGGAGCGTCAAGAGCTGGACAAGCAGCACGAACGCGATCGACTCGAGCGTGAGCGTCAGCTGGCCATTGCACGTGAGGCGAAACGGCATTACAAGCCGCCGGCAGAGCCCACAAGTACAAGGCCAGACACGCCCACCGATGACTCACCACCCAGCTCAAACAGCGAACTGCAGCATACGGTTACCTACGACGAGGCACCACCCCGGCCCGTCTACGATCGCTCTACGAAACCACAGAGCCGCGACGTTGAGACGACAGCGCCACGAGTCCGTGATTTCTCGCCCGTTGTGGGCCACAATGTGGTGAGTGGTTGACCAGGGCCTAAAAATAACTTTAACCAAATCAATAGGCCGTCACGTTTAGCGTTCATGGGCTGCACATTTGTTTTGCCAATGTGGTTCAGTCGCACGCTGTCCGAAGCCAAAGCATGTTCAGCTAAAACCGCAATTAAATATTCTTCTCGTGGTTTAGTGGTTGCAACAAATCGCACAAATGATTTGCGTAGCGGGCGTCAAAATTCAGCTGCCGCCAACTTACAACATTTATAGCTCCATATTTCCGCTCAGACGCGTAAATTAACTAAGCAAAATTGCATTTATGATATTTTAATAACTAATATCGCCATATCGTTACAGGGGCGCGGTCTTACCGGACTTAAGAATCTGGGCAACACTTGCTATATGAACAGCATACTACAGTGTCTGAGCAATACGCCACAATTAATGGAGTTTTGCATATCGGACAAATACAAGAACTATATAAGTCGGCGAAACAAAACCAACGGACAGGTCATCGAAGAGGTAGCCGCCCTCATCAAGGAGCTATGGAATGGTCAATACAAGTGTGTGGCTAGTCGTGATTTGCGAGTAAGTATTGGCAAGCAGATTTGGAGACATTCTGAAATTGAGATTTATTTATGTATTATTTTGCAGTACGTTGTGGGCCAATATCAGAAAATCTTTCGCGGCGTCGATCAACAGGACTCACATGAATTTCTCACCATACTCATGGATTGGCTGCATTCCGATTTGCAAACCCTGCGTGTGCCGCGTAAGCGAGATATTATCAGCGCCGCGGAGAAAGCCTGGCTAGAGTTTACCAAGTCGCAGGAGAGTATAATACAGCATTTATTCTATGGTCAAATCAAGAGCACCGTCAAGTGTGTGACCTGCACCAAGGAGTCGGCCACATACGAGTGTTTCTCGAATCTCAGCCTGGAACTGCCGGCGAATGCAAATTTTTGCTATCTGCACCAGTGCATGGACATGTACTTCAGTGGCGAGAAAATACACGGCTGGAACTGCCCCAATTGCAAGACGAAACGTGATGCAATTAAGAAATTGGACATTTCCAAACTGCCACCAGTGCTAGTAATACACCTGAAGCGGTAGGCGGATAGCAGAGTCTGTCTCATTAATTTCCTAATATATTATCTTCTTTTCGCTTTTTCACAGTTTCTATGCGGATCCCAGCAATGCAGGTGCCTATATTAAGAAACAAAACTATTTGCAATTTCCGCTCGAGAATCTGGAAATGAAACCGTATACAGCACGTGTCGAATCACGTGCCGTAACCCCCAAAACATACCAGCTGTATGCTGTGTCCAATCACTACGGCACCATGGAGGGCGGTCATTATACGGCATTCTGCAAGAGCGCTCACTATGGCCGCTGGTATAAGTTCGACGATCAGGTTGTTTCGCCCCTGGACACATCGAACGTAGTCTCGAGCGCAGCATATATATTATTTTATAGCTGGCTGCCGCCTATGCAGCTCTCAATATCATAGTCGCAAATGGAACTGTTCATTATTTTTGGTCCCTAGCTATTTGTATTTACCAAATTGTCTGCCTATTATTTTTTTCCTTAGCTTTTAATGCCTAGTCGCTTCACCAATTTACTGCAAACTGTTGCTTTTATTAATTAATGCTTTGTTGTTGTTCAATATTGGACCTATATTTATAATTTTACAACCATTACCATTATCAGCTAATATTCGGGTATCTTATATATATATATATATATATAAGTAAAAAAAAACTCAAGACGTTACAATATTTGTATGGATTTATGAAAAAATTTAAGTGCATTACAAAGTTTAACCAGAGAGAAGTTATATAGTTTATTATATTTTACACGCATATTTTTAAACCAAATAAAGGAAATACAATTTCTAAATTCGGTTTCTATTCTAATTTTCACCAAAACACAAGAGAGCTTTCATTTTAATATATTTTATGTTACGTGTATTCAAAACCTCCCGCTCAATAGACGATGTATTGCCATGCAGCTCAATGATGGTAACCCTAATAGTATTTATCGATAACATGTTGACACTTGTCGCCATATTAAACCATCTCTAAACTCCACGTATTAGAAATTTATACCGAATCAGCGTTTTACGCTTTTAAAGCACAATGCCAGGTGTCCGTGGAGAATAATTTAGTTTTCTAAGAATAAAGTTGAAATAAAGAAGAGTTAGCCAATTGAACCGACGCCAATGAATATACCGGAACACAGCCGTTTCGCCATCTACGCGTTGGGCATTTTTTTCGCCTACTTTCTGTATGGCATAGTCCAGGAGAAGCTTACGCGCGGCCGGTATGGAGACCAGTTGCAGCTGGATGGGAAGATAGGCGAGCGGTTTACCTATACCCTGGCCCTGGTCTGGGTGCAATGCTTATGCAATTATCTATTTGCCAAAGGTAAGTGGCAATCGCCGTAGACGCTCTCTATGTAACGCCCACTTGTTTTCTTTAGGCATGCTGGCGGTGAAACCACAAAAGGAGGACACCACACACACGGGCTACTATGCGGCCAGCTCGCTAACGTACCTGTTGGCCATGGTGTCCACTAACATGGCGCTGCGTTGGGTGCCTTATCCCACTGCCGTTGTGGGCAAGTCGGCCAAACCGATCCCTGTTATGATACTTGGCGTGCTGGTTGGACGCAAATCCTATAGTTGGACGCGTTACGCATGTGTGCTGACAATTGTGCTGGGTGTCATATTATTCATGTACAAGGAGAGCAAGGTGGCCAATTTGCCACCAGAGACAACAGGATTGGGAGAGCTGCTGCTCTTTTTGAGCTTGGCCATGGACGGATTGACTGGTGCCGTGCAGGAGCGTATGCGTGCGGCTAGTGCGCCCTCGGGTCAGCAAATGATGTTGTCCATGAACTACTGGAGTACCCTAATGCTCGGTGTGGCCATGGTTGTAACAGGTGTGCAACCGTGTTGACTTCATGTTACTTTTTGATAAGCATTTTGGTCCTATTACAGGTGAAGGCATGGAGTTTATACAGTTTGCTTTGCGGCATCCGGAGGTTTGGATTCACTTGTCCATGATTGCGCTGTGCGGTGCCTTGGGTCAGCTTTTCATCTTTCTGATGGTTGCCAATTTTGGACCGTTGGCTTGCTCAGTGGTCACCACCACGCGCAAATTCTTTACCGTTCTCTGCTCTGTGCTGCTATTTGGTAACGTGCTGATCGCTCGTCAATGGTTTGGCGCCATTTTGGTCTTTGCGGCGCTCTTTACGGATATGCTGTATGGCAAAAGGGACAATGCGGCTACGAACAAGAAACCACCTGGCGATGGCAAGCTAAAGGAGGAACAAAAGAAACTAAATTCATAGAATTTATTATAATAATAGCTTTATTTGTCGTACAATACAAATCGCCCTTAAGTTAGTTTAGCTTGTGCTGTAAAACGTACAAAAGTAAAAATGTTGTATTAAGGAGCTCAACAACTGCATTCCCAAATCGATTTTAAAATAATTACATTTTACTTATATAACTTAATTTTTACATGTGTTATAAAAAAAATTGTCTTTTGAATTTTCGGAAATAGCGCTATTAACAGCATTGCCACAACAGTAGTTTGTTAAACATATCGATTACTCGTTAGACGACTATCGACATGCCGCCACGAGCTATCGAGGGAGCTTCGAGCAATGACGTTCGTTGCTGATGGCCGATATTTTAAGTGTTTATGTTCGTTAGCTATGCGCGTTTACGCTCAACGCTCGCGGCTTGGATATAATAAAAGTTGACGCAGTGCTAAAATATAAATTGTGTGCTATAATATAAATTTACGTTCTTTTGGTGGTGTCAACAAAGTGCGCGGTGCTGCAATTAAAAGGGTTTAGGAGAAAATTACAACACAGAAAACCAAAAGAATTGCAAACGAATGCGAAATTTATTTATTAATGCAAAAATGCATGTCAAATGTGCTAAAGAAGTGCTCAAAACTGTTTAAAATAGTAAAGCTGTAAAAAAATCTACACAAATTACGTGTAAAACAAATATAATATTTTCCTACTAGGTGAGTCGTTCGTATTGTTGTTGCTGCCAGCTGTTTGCTTGTATGTTTGTACCGCAAGGGTCGCTGCAATATTATGTGTGTGTGTGTGTGTGTGTGAGTGTGTGTTAGTGAGATTAATTTTAGCAACTAAATGAATCGAAAGTGATTGGCACCGGATGATAGCCAGAGCAGTGTTATTTAAATACATATTCATTTGTTTTGTAACAAGTTTGACTTGTTAGCTAGCAGGATCGCAGGCACATAATGCCAATGGGTTTAATAGACACCCTCGCAACTCTAGAACACAGCCACCAGCATACAGACACACACACAAACACATACAAACACATACAAAATCACACGTGAGTAACACTTGCGCGCTCTCTCTCTCGCTCAGTCAAAATGGTGGTTGTTACCGTTAACGTTTGCCGGCTGCTGCTGCTGCTGCTGCTATTGTTGTTTTTGTTGTTGCTGTTGTGCGTGACGTAAACATTTTCTAGCCATTTCTCGCCCATTGCCAAAAGTTCTTTTGCTTTCGCAGTGCATTATGTAAATTCGTTTATTTAAATGACCATCAACTTATCTACACACATTCATATATATAAATACGATTGTAGAACTGATTTATGCTCAGACGTCGCGTTCGCACAGTTCACAGATAGCGAAAAAAAAGCCATCATAACGCTTTTGTTGAGGCCCCTCTTATCGCGCCGCAATAAAATATGTATATATGTATATAGTTCATATAAAGAATCCAAAGCAAAACAAAGACTCACACACACACACACACACACGCTCGTTTGGTATTTGTATTAAATGGGTTTTCACGCTGATAATTATGAACAGAAACAAAAAATAAAATATGAGAAACATGTCAAAAAACAAAACAAAATATCAATAATTAGCATTGCCAATCGTTCGACTTTTTGTGAACGTCTGGCGAGACGCGAATCTAGAGAGACTTTGCATTGACAAAGATATTTTGAAATCTCTTAAACATAAGATGTCTATAAAATCTTAAATTTTTTATTAATCAGGATGTTAATTTGTCTATTACAATTGAAGCTCCTCTGTGTCTAATGCTTATAGTTCTTGGGCAGACTTTCTAGCTGCCTAATTGAACCTTGCTAATCTCGGCTAATCTCGCGAATCAATTAAAAAATTGTCTTCCCACGAATCATTACTGTCAAAACTTAATGAACAGCTTAATTAATTAAAATTGGTCTTTTAATTAAAATGCAATAAATAAATCTTGAAATACAATTCTCTATGAAGCATAGTCGTAAGTTCATTCACTTTAGCTGGGCATTTCTGAAACTACCTCTCCACCGACATTAGGGGCATTCCCGCTAAAGCAATGCGGTTCAAACTATGCACGTGCTCAAGTTGGCGTCATTTGCTCTGGTTCAAGTGAGGCCAAAAGACATTACGAATAGAGAAAGCAAAAATATGAATAAAAAATATTGAGCGGCTTTTTAACTATTTATAAACAGAATTCTGTTTCATATTTTTTGCTTCGTATATGCCCAAATGTCTGCCTGTTGTGCTTTGTGCATTTATTTGAGGTTTTTTTTTTTCTTCTTTCGTTTTGTTTAAACTGTGGCGACTGACATCTGCATCATCACAGCCCCATTTTTCTACATTTTCACTCGCCCGCCCACACTAATGATGTCATCCACGAGTCGGTCACATGTTTGGACGGAAGCCCAAAGACTGAACCAAATAAATTGATTCTGTGGCCGCAACGAATTGTTGCTTCAAAAGTCCAAATTTTGAACTGTTGATTGATTGGTACTGTGTGAAAATAGTTGCTCTATATCGAATGCATTCATTCTAGCATATATGTGCCTTTTATCACATCTGTTTTGGCGCTTCGCATAATTGTTTGTTGATTTTTAAAAGTGTTTTTTATTTTGCAGCTTCCGGATGTCTAAAAAAACATCTCAATTTGCGTCTTTGATTTTCGATCGTTTTTTATCCTAATACATTCTTATGCATTTAAAAGTATGCTATATGAAATTTAACAGATAATTATGAAAATAATGTGCAACACGTGACAGGCATATTTAAAATTTCATCACATTTCACTTTTTATCCATATGCATTTCACAAAAATTCGATACGTAGCTCATTTTAAGTTTTATTCTTTTAATTTATATAATCGAACCATGCTCACGCATTTTGTAATATATATGTATGTGGAAAATTGCGTATACGCCGCATGGCACAGCTGTTATTCATATTAAATCTTGTGTCGTTGATTTTACAGCAGGCAAAATGAACCAAAAGACAGTTTTGAGACATTTTTTCAAATGAGAACAACAACACTTAAGACATTTCTTACGCTCTCACAAATCAAACATTTTAGTCCATCTCCCGCTCTCTTTGCATTTGTTTTTGTTGCAATAGCTGCTTTTACCGTTTTCCGTTTTGCATCTTGCGGTTTTTGTGCTTTTATGAATTAAAAATTGCAAATTCTCTTTTACGCTCGGCCACTGCTGTGCGCTCTTCTTTACGTGTTTGTCATGTGTATGTCAGGCAAAGCGCGCGCCTCTCTCTCTCTCTCTCTCTCTCTCTCTCTCTCTCTTTCTCTTTCTCTTTGCTTGTGCTGCTTCTTAGGATGCCATTGCATTTGTATTGGGTTTGCAGTTTTATTTTCATTTTCACAAGTAAATGAACCCCAACTATGGCACGCGTTCGTCTACACTCACTCGCCTCCTCCTCCCCTCCCCCCACTCTCCTCCACCCCTCCTTTATCTAGCCGCAGTCACTCACTCGCTCTCACTCTCTGTCTGCCAATTAGTGCCCGAA